GACCCACGTGCAGGACCTTGCACTTGGCCTTGTTGAACTTCATGAGGTTCTCACAGGCCCACCTCTCCAGCCTGTCCAGGTCACTCTGGATGCCATCCCTTCCCTCCAGCATGTCCACAACACCACACAGCTCGGTGTCATCAGCAAACTTGCTGAGGGTGCACCTGATCCCACTGTCATTTACAAGTTATTCAGAAAAGCAAATGTGTAGAGTTTTTAAAATCAGATGTATTTGTAAGTGAGAAAGCAGCATGCAATAACAAGATGAGGCAAAGATCAAAATATATCCCCAGAAAAATAATTTACTTACACTGACACTAGAAGAATAGATTTTTCATGTACTTGAAAGGAGAACAGGAAAAATGACAACGCACAACTAACCTTAGGAAAGGAAATCAGAGATAAATTATTATACGTGACTGCAATGCAGAGCCCTGTTTCAGTTTCTCTGCTGGCATAGGCTTAACATGAATGCATGAGCTAAATGATCTGATTTTTCTAATTAACTGCTACATTTACTCTGGTGCAATTTACAAGTACACAGAGCTGCTTCTGTAACCACCTATACATACAAAAAACACATTGTTTGAAAGTTTACCTGGAATTATTCAGAAAACACTTCATGTGAAGAGCCCTCACACTGGCTTAGCTAATAAACACAATATTCACGTACGTAAGCACAGGCAAAGTTCCGTCACAGTGAGAACTGCCCACTTTTTGACATAAAATGTTGCTCATCATCATTAACAGCCAATACACTAAAGTAAACAAATTGTCTTTTTTCCCCCCACCAAATAAAAATCACACTGTAAATCATAAACCCATTCTTAGAAAGGAGAAACGTTCGTTTTAGGCAATGTTGCGATAAACTCTCAAACATTGCTTACGTAAAATTAAAAATAGAAATTACCTTGTAACTTTTGAAACCTTAAGACCAGCTCCATAGAATCTTGATTTCAAGGAAAAGTGATTTTTGCACGTAAGTCATGTTAATGTGCTTTAAATTCAGTGATATAATGTGACTAAGAAGGGGGAAACATTTGGGAAAATAGGATCATTTTCTTTTCAAACCGCTAATGAGCTTACAATGTCCATCTTGGGACTTTTTGATTGAATTTTGCAGCGAATGCAGTCAGCTAAACAAAAAGATGAGAAATTCCAACTCTAGAAGAGGCTTTAATATGTACGGAATCTTCCAAAGGCTCTTCAGAGGAAGACAATAAAAATCCAGCATTAAATCAAGAAAATTGAGGCTAAAGAAAAAAGCCTGGATTTAAAAGACAGGTCAGTTCCCCCCGGACACGTGACAGCAAGGCACTTTTTAACCAATCTTTTCAGAGAAACAGGATGGTGTTCAACGGCACACGTACTTCTGCGCGTGGCAGAAACGGTAAGTAGAACTGTTGGTCACACACCAGTGCTCAGTGGTGGGCATAAACCAAGAAGCAACTAAAAGAAATCCACTTACCAAAGCAAATTTAAATCCTCGGAGCGAAGGCTGGACGGTTAGTTTGATACAAGTAGGAAGCAGGCTCAGGAATGTTACAGCGAAACTAAAGAATTTTGTAAGAAAAAAGAGAAATACATGAGCAATCCCATCCATGGTATCATATAATCACTTTTGAGAGCTGTGTAAGTCAGGAATTCAATTGTCATATTCGGAAGTACAGGATCACTCAAGGAGACTCCATGACAAGAGAAGAGCACTGAACGCCCTTCACGGACACAAGTGCTTCCGAAATAGGAATACAGCTTTTCCGTTGTTTCGGACCCCACAGACCTAGGCTTGACTTGTTCACTTATTCAAAAGACAGAACTGTGACCTCTGACTTTTAAGAGCACTAAAAGAGGTGATTCTTTGAAGAGGAAAGCACTCAAATTTTAACTCAGTTTGCACCACTCAAGTACCTTAAATCACTACATAAACAAGCAGGAAATTTTTCAGTCATAACTATTCCTAAAAGTACCTGGGGAAACCCTTATCACTTGGGAGAAAAGTACAGTGTAGGAAAGAAAACATGTTTTCAAGATATAAACACCACTTCTCATAATTCTTTGACAAAAATTACTCATTTTGCAAAAAATAATGGAAATAAAAACCTACCTAAAGCATGTCTTACCTGAGTTTTAGTTGAGTTTGAGGTGATACTATAGTCTTTATCTTTATAAGGACACTTAGACTGCACCAAATATTGGCTACTTTATCCTAGAAGGAAAACAGAAAAGGTAATTAGTGATAATGACACTCATTTAAAGTCATGTTTGCGACAACAACAGGGCTTGGGAGGCAGGGGATTGTTGGGTTTCTACCATAATACTGCAAAAAGACACTTGGAGATACACTTCATATTCTTAGATGCACTTGAAATTATTCTGATCTTCAAAAATGGAAAGTTTCAAGAGACTCAACTAAAACACATTTTAAAATAACTAAGAAACAGTTTTTCAACACAAGAGGCTACTTCTCAATGCATGAGATCACGCGTCTGGTGAAAACAGGGCTCTGAAACTCTCTGTCCCTGATTAAACACTGCCATACATGAATCTTTTTCCCAAAGTGAAGGTGTTCTGTGTATCGTCACATTTCGTTACATACCTGAATGTCTTTAGCTGTGCTTACTGCTTGCTAGCAATGACAGAGTTAACCTCTCATAAATCAAGAAGCCTAAAGACATTAACAGTTGTGCTAGGATCACTTTCAAAATTAAATTTGTAACTACAGCTATCACGCTCGTGAAACTCATCCCTAAACAGCTGCTTGAAGCACAGCTGTGTAGACATAACAGCAAGAAAGCTACTAGCACCAACAACTGAGCCGGCCTCCTCACGTGCTCACGAGCAATACGGACTATGCGCCCCAAACCTGCTGAGGATTACCAGCCAAGGGAGGGCTTGGCAGCACCAGCAAACACACGGGCCGCCCACTTCACAGCCAGTACCATTTTACCACCATCAGCATTTGTTGCCGCTGCTGGAAACGGGAACCGATTCAAAGAACCTGTCACACGCACCCCAGGATAGATTTACTGCGCGTTGCTTACGTGGACAATTTCTCATTTCATCTAGATTAGCATCCAGCAAGTCACGCCCCTGATCGACGCAGAAAATATTTGGGCTAATATTAGACTAAAATCCTTAAGCTCTTTCGGACTCGTTGGTTATTGTCCTTCACAGATTTCAATTTTAACCTTTGTACTGGACAAAAAGTGTGGTGACCAAAAGTATTTATTTGTAAATTCCAGCTAATTCCCAGGGAGTAGGGCCATTGGTTATTTTTTGGGGGGCCATTGGTTATTTTTTGGGGGGTGGGTGTTTGGGTTTTTTTAAATGAGCTAGAAGAGAACAACTTCTGAGAACACTTCTGTACCACTGCCTAAACAAAATGTTGCCTTTGGTACATCAGCAGTAACTTTCGAAGAAAAAAGTGCCAGCTGTGATATTATTTATATCTAAAGAACATTAAAAGAAAATTTAAGATGAATCAAACTAAGGAAGCATTTGCTTAAATCCCTCTGACATCGAAACCCGGAAATTCAATGGTTCGTTTTATTGGTTAAACTTCAAGTTGAAAATTTGCTTTTAAAAGACGTCAATAGACAGAGGAAAAGTAAAAAGTAGAACTGGCCTAAAACTTTCGGAAAATATTGTGGAAATTTGCACTGAAAATTCAAGGTGGGTCAAAAAGGAAGTTCTAGGCTGCGCTCAAAATGCCTTTTTTTTTTTTTTAAGTAATGAATTCTGTTGAAAAAAGGAGAGCAGAAGCAAAGACAGACTGTTAACAGAAGCTGTTAACTTTTAAGGTTACATCTTCTGACACTGTCAATTACTATGGAATCTATTTCAACGGAAAAATGTATGGATTGAAGTATGGGTTTGATGATGGGATAAGCGTTGTCTCCTCGTATAATATCCTGGAAGATGCCAGCTGAGCTGGGGTTAAATACTGGATGAAATAACTGGCGAGAAATGAGTGCTGAAGAAGCCAGCTCGAGTTACGCGTTCTGTGGTGTGTCTCCCACACGAAATCCCCAAAGGTCACGATGAAGGTTTCTCAAGGGATCCAAGAATACACAACATTTACAGCGGGGTGGGGGAGAAGAAAACATGCATGCCTCAAACAAGCCTCGGTCAATCTTCTGAGTACTTGCATGATTTGTTCCATGTCGGTACAGAACGGGAGCCAGCAGACAGCGAAGGAAGCCACCACTGTCCCTGCTATTTTAATTAACAATACCAACCTGCAATCAAAAGAAAAAGCTCGCATCAGAAAAGATAAATCCAGCTACGGGTAACATAAGTCAGTTCTTCGTTTATAGCATTTTTTTTTTTTTTTTTTTAAGAGATATAGAACTGAAGGTAACAAATCTAAATGAACAGAGCCACGAGTACCACAGAAAAAGTTCATCACCCCCAGATTAGGGAGAACAACTCCATGAGATTCACAAAGCTACTGCCCTCAATCTGACCTGGTTGCCCTCTGCAGCCCATACTGAATTTGGCTTATGGAAGGAAGAGCGCTAAGAAAGGACACCTTAACGGGTTTTGCTGTGTGTTCAGTGAAAATACTTAACGTAGATCTCAACAAGAAATACTTCCTTTGCAGGAGAGGAACATGTTACAACAAGGTAAGTATCTTCCACTAGAAATTCATTCAGAAACGCTCACATGCAAACAAGGAGAATCACATTCTCAGCGCCAGGCTGCCTGGGTGTATTCTTGGGAGAGAGAAAATGATTTGAAGTCACTCACCCCTTTCCTTTCAGTCCCTTCTTGAAGCACTTTCCAAGTAAATAGCAAAAAAAGGGCAGAGAATGGTAGAGTTCCATTTGCTTATAGTTTAAGGCCAAGCAAAACGCCACTGACCCCAGAAGGTCCCAGTCATAAGACAAACAAAGGACAGCCCACACGGCAAAGCCAAGGCTCACTGAGTTGTATATGGTTTTTCACGTCAAGGACAAGAGACATCTTGGTACTGGAAACCAGTAACGAGGGCTCTGGGGGACAGGTGTAAAACAGCATGCAAAATACATTTTTCCAAGTTACTTTTAAAAACACACGGCCAGTTGTGACTGTGTTGTTCACAGACAGAAATAATTTGACTTCTACTCAAAGTGTACGCTTCATGTTTCCGAGGCTTGACTCAAAGCTTGCACAAGCAAAAACGAGGACAAATTGTGTAATGTGTGTGTTAATTACACGTGTAATGTATATTCAGTCAACCAAGCTTCTGGTGACAGTGCTCTGTCAGATGCATCCGGGTAAACATTTCTTTTCTTGGTATTTACATGATTACGGATAAATCTTTCAGGAGTCTCTCCTCCCAGCTCCCAAAAGATATGTGCAGAATATTCAAATACGTCAATATTTAAATTATATATTAATTAGCTCAAGGACTCCTGGGGTTTTGTGATTATATCATACTTGCAACGCACCCTCATGCATGAGCAGCTCCCTTAGCTGCTAATACTGCACAAACAATGAATAATAGTTACTAAAAGCGACGTTATTGCCTTACAATTTTGAGAACAGGTTTCCCAGCTCAGTAGAGTTTGAAGAGACTATTATCTTCCCATTAAATCGCAACAAAAGATCAACTGTTATTTTTACACAATGAGAGAAACCAAACAAGAATACTTGCATTGTCAGAAGTGTCACAATATTTTGGTTTCTCTTTGTCAATATAAATAGCTGTGACAACGCACTCAAATTGTCTACATTGCTTTCAGCCCACTCAAATTCACCGCGTATATTTGAAATCTCATCAACAAACTGTGACACCAAAAGGCTGTGATCTTGCAGAGATGTGTAGCAGAAGTTCAGTAAACCTATTGACTGCTTGGGAGCTGGCCACAGAGAGTAAAGTTAAGAGTCACAGGGCTGGAAGAGGCCACAGGAGACTTTGCAGAACATTTGTCTGCTTGAACACGGCATCTGCTACACCTGTGTCATTCCTGACGTGAGGTTTGCTGAACCTTTTTCAAAAGATTGACCCTGCAGATTCTGTAACATCCACAGACAATCTAGTCCAGCATTTCACTGTAATTAAGGTTCAAAAGATTCTTCCATGTATTTAAAAAAAAAAAATATTCTCTGTAGTAACTTAGGGCCATTACTTCTTCCCCTATCCAACACAAGACGCGCAGACAGATTATTGCCTTCCTCTTTGCACGTCTTTTATGTATCATAAAATTGTGGCCCTGTCCCTTCTTCTGACCACCAGCTTCTCTCACCTAAGATGAACTGCATTCCTTCCCATCCCCATTCTTCTAAGTGATGTCTCCAGATGATCTACATCTTTAAAGAGTCGCGCCAAAAATGGAATTTCAGAATTTCCAAACTGTAACTGAAATAGCCAATAGCACTATTAATTTTTTTTCCTTCAGAATCTGCTTTCTAAGAAATATCAGTTTCCCAGTTCACCACGCACTCTCTTGGAAGAAAAACCACAAATTAATAAACAATTTGCTTGTCAAAACTTGATTTAGTAGATGCTGAGATTCAATATCTCCTTGGAATATTCAAATACCCACATTTATCACAACTCCGGGATTGCATCCCTCTGGCTCGATGGCATTGAGTAGCACAGCCTGGAGGAATCAACTAACAGCACGCACTTGTTCAAGTGCAAAACAAGTATAAACCCAGAAATCTTACTAAAAAGGACCCACCTGGGCAGGTGTCTGCCACCAATACTCCCCAGTTAGCTCTAATGGCCTAACTCGTATGAGATGCCTGGCTTTTCAATGGTTCAGCACTGAGCCAAGTGAATCCAGTCTCGAGTAACCGCAAAGGCGAGCCAGAATGGTGCATTTTACAGAACTGACCATTATAGACACTCCTCTGCCATCTCAAGAAGATGTAAGGTGATTCTCTCTCCAAACACAAATCACAGGAGCAGAAGCCATCGTTCCGTTCGCTGTCATATTGCAGAAAACGCCATAGCACTGACGTTTTCTGCAATAAGGCGACTGATAGAAATACGAGCTGGAGGCACAGAAGGAATGCTGTTTGTGTTTGGATTGATTTGCCCCAATATCAACTATTTATCTCCAATATATTTCAGCCTTACAGTTTTCTTTAAGGTATCTGCTTTGGGGTAGGCAGAAGCCCCTGGGATGACTTCGTATACAGAAGTAACCTTCTGCCCAGCTAAAGACAGGTACTGAAGCACAGTGTTACTCTGTAAATGGAAATTCATTTCACTGCAGAACAAGGATACTGGAAGTGTCCGTGGTCAATAAGAATGAGGCCTGGATAAAGCAGTATACACAGAGCACTGGAAACCTAGAAAGAAGGATTCAAAAAAGAGAGGAGAAAATAATTATTTCGAAGTTAGACATCAGACAGAGGAACCTATACTACTTCTCCAGTACAAAGATTTGTCCCTCCACAGTGCGTCCTAGATGTAGGAACCTTCTTCTCTACAGGTAATATTCTGCCAGTAATATTTCAAGGAATAAAAAAAGGATAAAGATTTTCCATAAATAAGAAAATACTTAATGGAGACCGGCCTGCCTTTGGCCAACCAGCTTACAGATCACCCACACCAATCTTAAACCTTGGAACCAATCCAAAAAATCAGACAACTTATTATTCCAAAATTTATTGGTTCTACCACAAGGAGTGTGCAAGACAAAGCAGCTCCTAGATTCTCCCACGTCACAGCACAAACCTTGGGTTTACTACTCAAGTAATAAATTCAGAAAGAAATATATTTCAGGAGTTCATGGCTACTAAACTTCAGAGCATCTTGTTATTGTTACTGAAAGCATTAAAATAATTGTTATAAGTTAATGGCTTTTTTTATCTTTTTAATTGAAAAGCCTTTACTACGACGTACACCGATTGTCATCAGTTTTACATCAATTGAAGCCATCACAGTGTTCTGTATGTTAATTAACTCTCATACTGTTACATTTCTACCCTGTTAACAGTATGTTTTCTTTGTTTGTTAATTTACACACACGCCAGATACTTGCCTTCTTTTTAGTAGATGTTTCTTTCAAGGAAAAACAATATAAAATAACTGCAGGAACATAAACCAGCAAATCAGCAACAAACACTGAAAAATAAAGATCAACTTTATGTTAGAATCCTCCCACATACCTCATCTTAATGCTATTCAAGTTGTGTATTTTCATCCGGATTGTGAATCTTTGACTCTGCTTAACAGTTTTAACTTCTTGATGCTCCACATCTCGGTGGTATTTGGTGTAAAAAGCCTCAGATGGTTCATAACCACACAGTGTTGGGGCGAGACCAGTTGTCTGCCTTCTGAATGTGGGGTTTCCATCCGTGTCCTCACTGAAAACTTCACCTTAGTCATTCAGTTCCACTGAAGTCTGAGTCATGTGACTCTAGTTTCAGCTGAATATGCTTTTCTGTCATCTTACATTGCTTTAAAGATAGCTCAGGTTTGGCAGTTACACCAAAGCTAATATTTTTCAGTTGTTTTTGAGAAGGCAAGGAAAAGGTATAGGCAAATAAACATTAAAACATCAGAAAAGTCCTTCATTAGAATAAACTGGGTAGTTCCACTTCAAAGGACAAAAAGAAATAGGTCTACAGAATTTGATCTTGTTAATGTTTCTAACGCTCTCATTTCTGATGTCCCAAAGCTGCTGCTTCCACGTGTTCAGCTGTTTTGGCTCCTGGCACAGCCTCAGTCAATACAGCAGCACACTCTAGTTCCTCACATGCCAAAATGAGAGAAGGCATTCTTAATTCCCAAAAGAAATCAACCACGACTAGACCCAGTCAAGCTGTTTGATGGAAACGATAGTCTGAAGACACAAATAATTAAGAAGCTCTAGATCATACCAATCTCCAGTGTGCCTGTGTGAATTACTAGTGATGTAGATAAATAGACTAAAACTAGTTATTTGGCTTTGATCATCTGCCCACAGCAAATATATGTATGAGGGTCAACGAGAAAACAGAACCAGCAGGACCACCTGCCTAGAATTATGTCAACTCCTGCTCGTGCTTAAATCATCAGGAGAATTCTTCTTGAGTGTTGTCTTAAGAGCCTAAGAAAAATTTCAGATTATTTCTATAAACTGGTTTCAGAAAACGTGCAATTATTCCAAGAGGGAAGCACGCTTTGCCTCTTTTTAGTCACGGGCTTTGGAAGAAAGCGTTTCAAGATACGAGTTATTCAGTGATGAATCATTTTGCAGGCTTAGGCCACAATTAAGCAAACATATACAAGGCGTTGGCGAAACAAATACGCTGACACTTAAAATAAAGGTGTAATACCAACAGCTGCCATCGACCTTTCTGAATTATTTTAATGCATTCTTCTAATGGCTACTGTTCAAAAGTGTTTACCAGTTCTCCTAGATCCATCAGTGGCTTGCCAAGTGAGTTGATCTCAAAATTAATAAAGACCATTTCAAGGGTAATTAAGTTCTAGTGATTTTTTTTTTTCAGTTCAATCAATTACTAGAGACCAGACTGAGAGGTTTGTGAAGTACAGAAAAGCTATTGATGAACAACAAATTCTGCTGTTGCAATCAGAAAGCAGTTTGTGGAACTCTACTGTTACGCAAAGCAAAAAAACAGTTTTAAAAGTCAAGAAAATAGTAACAGGATGACATAAGCATCTGCCGTTGCTTAGAGAACAAGAGCTTACTGGCCACATTGTTTGCTGTCCTGCTGATACAGCTACTGAATTGCTATCTACAGTTTTTTTCTGCTCGTTTTATCCTTTTCTTTGCAGAGGCAGTTCAAAAT